TGCTAACGATGAAATGCAAACAAACGGCAATCTATGCAGCTGCTAAACATTCGGTCCTTCACTATTAAACCTGAACGTTACGGAACAGCCATCTCCAACTCAGTCCCAGCTAGAGGCACTAAAACAGCCGGCCTTCACAATGGTTTTGTTAAATGCATCCAGTCGCTAAAAACAGCCGGCCTAGTATCAGCCAACTAGGCGGCAGTAATGATTAAATCAGGTGGCCCTTGCAACCAAAGCAATGATTAAACGGCTAGTCATGTAAAAACAAGCGGCACCCTATTGAGGATTGTCAATTGTTTCCGTTGCAATTACCGTGAGGAAGCTCTTACCCAAGGTGAATCTTAATTACTGAGTAAATTCTGGAAGAAGTCGTTTGTGAGCTTCTAACCAGGCGGACTTCTCCTCATGCCAAGCATCTGTTTGATATAGGCGGCATCAAAGGCTGCAAGCAATACATCCGGCCAGCTCCATATATGCTCACCCAACATTTATAATGCCATATGTATTTCAATTCAAATGAAACTTTTTCCAGCTTGCATCATATGCGGGTCAACTAGTGGGTCTTGGTCTGGCTGAAACAAAACCGAAAACCAGCCGTAAAAAACAAGAGTTAGGTGCATGAATAGCAGCCGGCCATCTCTACGCAACATTAGTTAGCTCTTGATAAAACATCCGGCACTCTCAGCATTTGAGAGCAGGCGACATTATAGAGTTAGTCGGCATTCGGTCAGCCAAACAGCCGGTGCTCGTCGAGGGTAGCCTTGAAAAACCGGCTATATGTATTTAAAGCAAGAATGCCGTGAATAATTACACAATCACAAGTGCTCCTCAAGATTACAGCAGGCCATACCCAAAAAAACCATTGTGCTCGGTTTACTTGAGGTTCAAAAACGGCCCCGGCATGCGAGCATCTATGATCTTTGCTATTGTGATAAGACCAGCCTGCTCTATATGATGTTTTATCATGGTATAACCGCATGGTTTTTGCTCAAAAATATAATGCCAAGTATACTTGATACAAATGAGTTTGGTTCCAGCTTGATCTTCCAAAAGTAAACAGCCAACATACTCGCACATATAAACCTCAAACCTCACGGCCTGCCGAGAGGAGTAGCGCTTGGCTCGTAGTAATATAATCGGCCATGAGAGTGAATGCTTAAACTTGTTCATGTGTTAATTCTCTTATTGTGAAAGCTGGGCATTGGCGTCTCGCCCAAGAAAGCAGGTGGCTAAATGGCAGCCGACCTAGTCCCAGCCACGAAGTAGCAGGTGGTAGCCACGATCAACTTTAACCATGCGTCCGGCACTTCGATGTTGGGCATGAGTTACATTGCCGAGTGTGTGAGCATGTAGCCTCGAACTTAGGCCTTGATTATAAGCGAGGGCTTGATGACTCCTACCTCAAATGCACACAAGCATTAAAATCAAGACACTCGAATGGTTCATAACAGTCGGCCCCTTAAACCATTCAAAAGAGCAAGGCGGAGTAGGAGCGCCTATGTTTGAACAACCGGCTCCCAAGCTTCGTTCCAAGAATAATATGGGCCACACCCATATCTCATTTTGTATATACATGACCGCTAGCATGTCCAAGAAATCACAAAAGCCCACTTGGTATCCGAGCCTTCTTCACCAGGCGCCTCATGTTGATAGCAAAATCAAGGAGGCGGCTCTTGGGTAAAACAGCAAGTTTAAGTAATAGCTTCGAACTTGAGCATGAAAACAAGCGGCTACCTGAACAATCGCATGAACAATTCGGTCATTTAAAGCCGAACCTTAAAATGCGAGATATTTAGCTTGATATTCCGGAAACATTTAATCACAAGGCGTTCATGGGTATCGAGCATCGTGGTCTCAAAGCTGAGGATTGGAGGTCTTGCCTAAGGAAAACAAGCGGCATACCGAATGGAATTATTTATCGTGGGTTTGCAGCCTTGTTTTAGGCTACCATCATCACTATTATGATTGAAAAAAAAATAAAAAAATAAAAAATAAAAAATGCTGCCTAACAGTATGGCTAATTGTCATTCTCATGCATGAGAATAAGACAAAAACATAAGATCCTCTCAAAAAATATTGTCTAAGTCTATCAAGCAAGAGAGGCGGCATGAATAGTAGTCGGCCCCCTATACGACGAAGTCTCGTAGCTATGAAAGCAGTCAACCCTCATTAATTTCACTAAGGGGCTAAAGATCGGCGGCAAATGTGTAGGCCGAGCAGCGAGGTCGCAAACCACATTAACAAGTTTAGCACGACCACCTGTCCCCATTCGAAGAAAGTAGAGTCATCAATCCTCCATGGAAGGGAGCTAAGTGATCTATCTACTCTAACACTTGAAATTATTTCAATACTTGATACTAATTCAGAGGGGCATGCCGCCTGTACCTTTACAGTCGGCTACTCTCCATTGATTATATCACTATATCATCAGAGGGGCATGCCGCTGTACCTTTACAGTCGGCTACTCTCCATTGAGTATAGCAGCGGTACCTCTATAGTCGGCTACTCTCTGCTTTGATTATTTTACTCTATCACTAGAGGGGCATGCCGTCTGGACATATAGTCGGCTACTCTCCATAGAAGAGGGCCGACTGGTTCCAAAACACACAGCCACCCCCCTTATACTTAGCTAAAAAAGATTAGGGTCAGGCCGACCATGTGCCTAAACAAGCGGTTGCCCTCTTCTTACTTAGCACCTACGTTCGCCAAGAACTAACCAAGGCCACAGGCCCGATGATCAGCCCAGGCGCCAAGCCAACTGATCCAATTTTTAAACTAATACGACCTGTCCCAACATCATAGCAGGCGTCCGACGGCATCCCTCCGGATGAAATTCGTCGCAGAGAGCAGCTCCCTTTTGGGTGGAACATTGCTCTATAAACTAATTACACGGCACCTATACGACTGTCCCCAAGGGCAACCACGTAGCCGTTTTTGAGACAAGGATAACTCTATCACTAACCAAACCAGTGGTAGCAGTTGACATCTGAGTCAGATGACCGCCTGTATTACTTGGGATAAATGCAGGGGGTACCTCTTGAGTTAATAGCCAACAAACATTGGCGAATCAAAAGGTTCAGCCGGCCTCCGCCGCCTAGTACCTTTACTACTCAAGCAGGAGTGACGGCGACTGAGTAACACCAAAGTCAACTCATAGGCACTCCCTCAAACTTGGTATGGAACCTAAAAGGTTTGAGTAGACCGCCTGTTTTTTGGCAAGCAGGGGCACTCAAACCCCTATTCCTACTAGGTAACCACTCCTTGGGCTAATAGCCAACAAACATTGGCGAATCAAGGGGATCAGCCGGCCTCCGCCGCCTGGTACCTCTACTACTCAAGCTAGAGAGTGACGGAGACTGAGTAACTCCCATGTTAACTCATAGTCACTCTCTCAAACTTAGTATGGAGCCTATAAGGTATGAGTCGCCCGCCTGTTTTTAGCAAACAGGGGCTCTCAACCACTACTCCTGCTAGGTTAACAACCTATGAGTTAATAGCCAAGAAAAACTTGGCGAATCAAGGGGACTATCCGGCCCCCGCTGCCTGGTTTCCCTACCACTCAAACAAAATAGGCAGTGATTGACTAACCGCAAGGTTAACCAGTCGCCCTCCTTAGTACGGAACCTAAAAGGTATGAGGAGTCCGCCTGTTTTTTGGTAAACAGAGGTACTCGACCACTATTCTTACTAGGTTGGCTATACTTAAAGCTGTCGTCTGTAACCCAACAGGCGTAGCTACTTTGGTAGGACGTCCTGTCTGACGCCTGCTTCTATGCAGCCACCAAAGCAGACGACCAGCCATCCCCCAACGAAATAAACTAAGTACCAAACTTAGTATATTGAATCAAAAGAGGCCAATGGCCGAATAATGCTAAACGCTTACCCCTTATGCAATAGTTGACAGTCCACCTGATCAGGGGCTATCTGCATATTGGGGCAAAGAATCGGCATCTGTCTAGTTCGGCGGCAATCATTATTATGATTGATTAACTTTGAAAATGTCATACCGCCCAAGGTATCAAAATTTTCTAAGTTAATCAAGTCCATCTCCCATTAGAACTAGACAAGATGCCGACCTAGCAAAGCTTCGAGGGTCTAACTTTCGTAAGGAGCAATCCCTCTTGGAAAGAGAAATTACTCCTTCCGAGGGGCAAATGTTTAGGGTAAAAATTACCCATGACAAATGGACCAATCCGGACCTGCCACGTGTCCACCACGTGGGTCAATCAGCGTCCGCCATTTGTCACCCTAAGAGGTCCAACATGGACTAATCAGGCCACGCCACGTGGCCTCCCATATGCCAAATAGGCAAAATGGCCACCAAGGCCCAAAGTCCGAGAGAAGCCCAATTTGCCCTGGTTAACCTAAACCTAAAATTGGCACGCTTCTCAAGACTATAAATACTTAATTAATCCTCATTAAAGGGGATTCAGCAGAATGACTCTCACCTAGAGAAAACCAAAACACATTGATCACTCCTCCCCTAGAGGAACCAGATCTCCCACCTTTACTTTCCGCATTTATCACTCCTCAAACAAGTACTAACTTGACCGTTGGAGGCGGAGCTCCCACCACAAGGAGTCTCCGTTGTTTTGCAGGTACAAGCGCAAGGATACCAGTCCCGGAATTGTAACTCTCCCGCAGGACATCAGAAAATCCCGAAACAATGTTCCTTTCTTTTATTGGCCTGGACCGACTTGGTCTCCCTTGACAAAATGTTTTGATCAACAATAATAAGGTGGTCTAAATTGCATTTAAGGTGATTTGAAATCGGGTTAGGAACAATTTGGATTGAATTTAGGTCGGGTCAATAACAAGTCGTGTTGATTTCGAGTCAGGTTAGTAACAAATCGGGTTGAATTTTTGGGTCGGTTAGTAATAAGTCTAGTAAAATTCGGGTCGGGTCAATAACAAGTCGGGTTGAATTTGGGTTAGTTCAATAACAAGTCGGGTTGATTTCGGGTCAGGTTTGTAACGAGTCGGGTTAAATTCGGGTCGGGTTAGGAACGGGTCGGGTCGAGTTTAATCGGGTCAGGTTTGTAACAGGTTGGGTTGAATTTGGGTCAAGTAATCTCCAGGTCGGTTCATGTTCGGGTTCAGGTCTCACATACTCGGGTCTAGGGTTGGTTTCATGTCGGGTTTGGATCACTATTTTTCCGGTTAATAATCGGATTTAAGTCAGTATTTCGGGTCGTGTCAAGTTCTGACAGATCTACCAATACCTAGACAACGGCCCATATAAGTACTGACCAACCTAAACCACCATAGATCATACAACTCAAGAGAGCAACATTATTTGGATGTCTTCTGAACTTATAACAAAGCAAATCGAAGCTAAGGCTTAACACATGATATTTTAAAGATATTAACTTGGAAGACGAGGGAATTATACAAAAACTTAGATTGGTCTTGTCTTTTCAGCTACGACTTTGCCATTGAACATGACAAAAGAGTGAAAAAAGTGGTAAAGGGCTCTGCCCCTGGGATAACTTACAACCCTTGTAGAGACTTGAGGGAACCAAGTCTGTGATACTAAGATTACCAAAACATCCCTCGTGTACAAATTTGCAAAGAGATAGATACATTCTAATGTTCAGCTACCTATAGTTCTGAAAAGGTGACATTAAAAACAATATTTACCATGGATTATGTTATAGGAGCACTCGTCAGTCATCAAATAGCTTTATCAAGTGTCAGTCGTAACGAATTTAGGTCTAATGTCTTGTTGATTCTGCAAAGTGCATGAAAAATTGACAAGTTGATAACAATGTGCAAGGAATTTAGGAAAGTTCAAATAGGAATATATTATTTCTCACCTGTAAAATACGTTTCCCGAAGGTGAAAACTTACAGACTACCCATTCAGGGATAAATTCTTGCAGTAGTTTTAGCTGTTCCTCGATTTCACCTGTAAATAAAGTTCTGAGTCAGTATATTTCCATTCAAGAAGTGGAGTTTATGTGATTTAAAAGTCTGTACTCACTTTCATCAGTAATGTCCAAATGACACTCAGTCAGGTTGCGAATTAGTGCCTCTTTTTTTATAGCTGAAAACTTGGGATTCTGAAACAATATATAAATTCTGTCGAACAGCTTAGGAAGGCACTTAATCATCTGTTTCCTCTTTGCCAGCTCTATGCTTCTTTTCTCTTTCGCCTTTATCTGCATAAAGCAAAATCAGTAGGTCAAATGTAAGATCATGTAGTAGATTTGAGAATTTATTGGGCTGCAAAAGATCACTAATATTATATTATATTGACATTATGAAGCAAAAAGAAAATACAAAGCAGTACCGATTGTAAAAGGTTCTCAGGAAGAATGTCACTAATATTATTAGAGCATTCAACATCATCAACTTGAAGATCAATATTTACAGATCCCGAAGGGCCCTCGAATTTAAGTGACCTAGCGCAAGAAGGCAGATCAGATGATTTATCTGCACTCAGCCTAAACCTCTTAGGTGTTTGCAAAGTTGGTGTGGCTGGCTTGATAGGAGTATCAGCATGTTTCATAGGTGTTCCCTGCTTCATCTTAGCACTATGTGCAGAACAAATTTCACTGTCAACAAAAGGTTTCCGCTTGATTTGACCAGCAGGTAGCCTACATGACACAGTCTCAGGTTGAAGAGTTACAGATTCCACTTCATCTCTGTCCAAAGATGGATTAGAACTATACATCGATTGTAATTGGTCTGAGAAATCTGATGGACTCTGGAGACTGTTCCTTGATTTACTGTATGAGCCTCCCATTGAAAAATGCTTCCTGAAAGATGGAGAAAAATGGGTTGCTTGAGCTGCGTCTGACTCTGCTACACTGGCAAATTTCTGAATGCGAGAGCTTGCACTTGATTGTTTGAAGGAACGTAACAGCAGATCATGCTTCTTCTGGTTAAATGACTCAGGAAGACTCTCCTCAGGTATATCAGTACCCTACATTCATAAATCAGATATTATTATGACTATTCAAATCAGAATTTCATGTACATATTAAACATTATTCCACGTGCATATCAACCCAGGGAAGTTCTAACATCTTCCTTTCCACAGGAAATGATAATGACAGATTGACAGGTATGTACAGAACCTGAACAATTCATTGAGTGAACTGAACATCACCCTCTTCATTCAAAATGATGCATTTCAAATTCTACGATTTTACACAACTTGTTCAAAGAGCTATACGGAAGCATTATGCAGACTTATATACTCAAACACAGATGGCACAGATGGACGAAGTGGAGGATCAAATACTTGGTTTGAATCATTACAAATTTTAGGATTTAATATCTGTTTATTTAGATTAAACCTATTGAAAAAGCTCTTTCTGATTAATAAGTATTTACCTCAGGATGATCTCTTGCAAAATCCAAAAGCTTTGAAATGAAGAGATCCCTCAAACAGGGGTTCTTACTTCCTCGCTTCCTTTTGTCTTCACGGGTCGTCCTATTGATAGTCAATGAGAGATGAAGATCATGTTCCATGCAGCGAGTCTCCTCGTCAGCCATCAAGACTTTTCTGATTCCAATCTCCTCTGGCAAAAGAAACTTCAATTGCGCCAAATGTTGATGAGTAAACCTCCTAAGAATCATCCAAATTATAAAATTACTACCACCAAATTCAATCTGCCAGGTCTTTGGAAAGCAAACTTCCTGGAGGTTTTGACCAATAAGCATTAAGGCTGCACATCCATAGGGGTTAATTGTTGTTGTGATAAATTTGTATAGAGCTAAGTCAGCTAACATAGAAATATCACATTTGATACCCAAGAGTTTGAGGATCCTAAACAATATTGGTCTTCCCAGAATTGGGGAAATAGTTGAATAGAAGAAGTTATGAGGTTAAAATTTCATAATGTAAGATTGACTGGTAAACGAAAGGCACATTGTAAGAGTAAAACAGTATTCAGATCGAAAGACTTTGTTTTGTAAAGATTCGGCATTTGGTTAACATAATAAGGTTATCTAGCATAGCATTGTAGGCTTGTAGCCCATCCCTGGTTAAGTGGATCACATACTCCCCCAAGTCCCCCCCCCCTCTTAAACCTCACTCGAATTTCTGCTCATTTGTTCAATAAGCAATCCCCAAATGAATAATTGAGTCCATGAGTCAAATGGACACGAAACTATGCCCTAGATTGGCTACCACATTGAGCACTTATTGCAAGTCCGAATGATTACAATTCACCAAACAACAATTCAGGTTTTATCGATGTCAGTCCTTTCACAGTTGTTGAGCTCAAGCTACTACTAAACTGGTTTAAGGCTATAATAACACAGTGTCAGAGAAGGGGGGTAAAATGGAGGTTTCAAAAACACGAACGGAAAAGCATCAAAACAACAAATTAGACCAACAAAAATGACTATCATCAAAACTTGCGCAGAATTAAACAAATTAATTCAACATTCCAATCAAATAAGCTAAAACGTATGCAGTAATTGAAAAAAAAAAAAAAGAAATAATACCTCTCAGACATATTTTCAATCATAAGCCTAATCTTCCCAAACAAAGGAATTGAATTCCGCAAGCGAAGCAATTTCAACGAAGCATCCAATGCATCGAAAAACTTCAATAATGTCTCATACCTTTATTACAAAAAAAAACAATAAACCAAAAAAATCAAAAATCAAAACAAAATAATAAAAAATAGAACTTTAATTAACAATATTGAAAGAAAAATTATGCAATAAAATGAGAATATATTACAGAAATTGCAAAGTATAAAATAAGGAGATTACTTTTCCGGCAATCGAACAGAACGGCGATGAAGTTTGAATCTTTGAGGAGGATGTGGAAGCTTCGTCGGAGTTCTGGAGCTAATTTGATCGGACAGTAGAGGTTTCTCCGCCGGCGAAGTTTTTTCCGGCATTTTGAGTGAATCCGACGGCTGTGATTCCATTTTCGACTAGGGTAAGTTTAGGTTTATTACGGTACTAAAAAAACAGATCTGAATTTGTTTCAATGAATTGGATACAGAAAACTTAAATAGTTGTACACTTGTACTGTGAATATCTGATGTGGACAGTTATGGGCGCCAAATCTGATGTGGATTCTGACGTGTCAGTGTGCCACATACGATTTGCCGCTAAAATAGCAAGGATTTCTTAGCTTATGGACTCATGAAGTCATGATTGGTGGTGAGTAATTAACTAGCTTATGGTTCCGTGCAATGTACCGATTTACCAAAATTTATAAATATTTTTATTTCAACAATTTTTATATGATTTTTTTTATAATAAGTACGAAAAAATTCGATATTCTGCTAATTATATTAAAAATTATGCATATCTTTTTAAATAATATTATTTTGCTTAAATTTTCTATAAGTTGTTACAAAAATGTTTTATTGAATTTGGGACGTAAAGATTGCGTTTAAGTAGGAATGAAAATATTATAGTGTATTAAAATTGCCTAATATAATTTGACGAAAAAAAAAAAAAAAAAAAAAGTGGAGGGAAATTATTTAACCAGATTTTGCCACGTGTCATTTTTTATTCGCCTTTAGTATATAGTTATTGATTGATTGATTTTGGTTCCAAATCTTTTGCAACTTTTTACTACCAGTACAACATAAATCCATAATAACTTTATATAACTAAACCAAATTCATTATCGAGACTTTATAGGCCTATTGATAGAGTTGTTATGGTTTCAAACCAACTTATATGACTTTTGAAGGGCAACTCACGCATTCACTTCAATTTTTTACCAAAAAAAAAACCAAAGTTGGCCCAATTATGTAGATTATAACCTTTAGTTTTGAACAAAAATTGACTTTTTTTTACCTAAAAAGAAACAAGTCTTGGTGCTTCCCATAGACACTAAGACACCCCGCGGAGGTTAATTGGTTGATTGGAACCGTCTACTTTGTCTTTAAATTGCAAATTTATACAATTACAACTTACTGTCTTTTATTAAATAAAAGCTATCACGTGACTTTATATGACCGACTAGTAGTCATATATGGTTACAACCATAATATATGACTGATATGTATCCCCTAAAATCCCAAGATTTTGGACAACAGATCTCGAAACCTTTAGATTGGTCCAAAGCGTGGATTATAGCCTTACATTTATTAGAATTTATGACTTTTTCGGACCCGGAAAGAAAAGTGGTCGTGGTTCTTCCATGGACCCCACAGCACCTCGGGTGGCCATTTGGGTGGTCATAACCATCTATTTTGCCTGAAAATAGTCAAGTGTACTTTTTTGGAGTCATGTATGCCTACTGGTCGGTGACATAAATGTCTATGGTGACCTTGTGTCCGTAACCGGCTAAACTGATAATTAATAGTTAGAGTAAACAGTTAATACGAAGTATATATTGATATAGGCACCAATTGACCAATGTACACCAAGGATAGACTATAGAGCATATGGCCTGCGGGTATGCTCGTATGCATGCAGAAAGCTATAATGGACACAATTTCAAAAAGGTCACACATTATTTGAACTCTAGTCAAGTAAACAATATCAATCTTTTCATGAACAAATTTCAAACGAGTAAGCTTTCCCCCCCCCCCCCCCCCCCTATTGTATTAAAGATTTACAAGTTTACAATATCAATCTTTTCATGAGCAAATTTCAAACTAGTAAGCTTTTTTTTTCCCCTATTTATTACAACTCAATGAGTTCCTTCACTTTTTATTTGATTGGAAAAAAAATACAAGTACTTACTAGTGGAATATATCAACTCTTAACAATTTACAATATTTAACATATATTATAAAAAAATTAATTGTTTTAACATTGGATGAGTCCTAAATTTGATACACATATTTACAAATCCACCATACTATAATCGATAGTTTTACAAGCCCTCCTCTGCTACAGTGCCTACTTATACAAGACCTCCACTGTCATATCAGGCAACCAAGCGAGCTTCCTCACTGTCAGGAAGCACAATATCAAGCCTCATCATGGGTTCATACCTCTTAGGGACCACGGCACCAGCTTGCTGACACACTTCAACAACAGCAGGAGCCTTCCCATAAAATCGCTTGAGCTCAGTCCTCATTGGGGGTCCTCCAGGATCTCGAACATGCCAGACATAATTTGGCGGGAATAATTCATCAATAATTGCATCTTGCCAACCATGCTTCCCATCCCTCCACTGGTGCTTAAATTCCCCACAGAGCTTCGCATTATGACCCCATGGACCCACGTGAACTTCAGGGCAATATCCACATGCTTTGACAGAATACTTCGTCATCAACTTTCTCACACCCTTTGCAACAGTTTCATATGCGTTCATTGTTTCTTGAGCAACCCTAGACAGATCTGAGGGTGGTGGAGGTGGAAACCTCAACAAAGCACCGTGTGTATCATAGCTTAGGAGTGCTGAGGAATCTCTAGGTTTAGGTGTAGGATCCTCAAGGTACCCACCTCGGTCAATAATTTTCTTCCCAATCATTCGAATAGGTTTGGTTCTCCGGCGTGATGGGTAACCTGGTATATCAACACCAGCTTGAATACAGAGTTCAACAATGGCAGGGATCCGATCATAATCGAACCTAGTTTCATGCTTAATTCGTCGACCAAAAGGGTCATAGAGATGGTATGACTCGGTAGGGATAATCACATCATTGATTGATCCCTTGACCCATAAGTGGAGCCCTTGACGCTTATTGCTGCTTGAGCCCCGGCAGTTTCGTATTTGATGCCCAGTCTCAGCAACATGAACCTCAGAGCACTCACTGCAAAAGAATCATCTTATTCATGACTTGTGACACAAACCGCATGTAAACAAAAGAGTGATTTCTTCGGCTTCACTCTCAAGTCAAATTGAATGAGCTACTAGTTTTCAAGTGTTTGTATAGGACTATAGGAGTGTTCACATAGCTCACTTAAGAATTGATGAATTACTGATGCATATAATAGGCTAATCATAAATCAGAAAATCACAAACCAAAACTAAAACCTGAAGTTAAAGCCAGATATAATACTTTGAAGAGATTTTTTAAAACCAGATTTTACTTGCGAAAAGTTCATAATGATAACAAAACTAACATAAACTACAGTAATAAGAAAACCAAATCAAGCTTACCTACAAGCATAGACTGGAATTACATGCAAGAGTTGTGCAAGACCTCTAATCAATCCCTCCCATGCATTCAGAACTTCATGTGCAACAGGAATCAGTTCAGGGACTAGTATACCATTCTTAGGAGGTTCAAGTGCCTTTTCTATACCCATTTGAGCAAGTTTCTTGTCGGCCCGTGCCATCCGCTGGATTTCTGTTATTGGGATTGGATAGGGTTTTTTCTTTTTTTTGGGTAATACAGGTGGAAGATCCACATTCTGTGGAAGTACCTCCTTTTTCACTGATCGATAAGACTTTTTTGATGAAAATCTCTCCTCATTCACTGACCGATCACTTTTCTGCCTCTGCTTCCAACAGATGATGCTCAGACTCAGAGATTGTTTTGGTAACTTTTCTGTATGAGGCCTTTGATGTACACCCTATAGGAAAATGGAAACCCAAATGAGTCCTTAAAACAGGTACATATTCAGATAGTGGTATAGAAAATCTACTTCAATATAAAAACTCTTGAGTATATATAAGAAGGTGAGAGGTGAAAAAAATATAGCCTTTAACCAGTGCCATCAACAATACCACCTACTTACTCCGAATATATTCTGACAATGTAGAAGTTTAGAACAATGATATCTGAGAAGGGTACTTCCTCCATTAAAGGAAGTGTCACTTAAGGCAGGTATGGAAATTGGGACTTCTATTACATTATATTTTGCACTACATTGGACTGCTAATTTCCAGTCACCCTCTCACTCACTTGCACTCACACACACACACACAAAATGCTTACTTATAAATGAAGGATGAAGAGAGTAAATCCTATCACTGAATTCCATGTTCGAAACAAAGCATGTCATAAAATTGCAAAAACAAATATTGAGCATCTGAACACTGTAATAGTCTAAGATTTTTCCTTGACTCTTGGGTCTACTTTCAACATCATTGGAACTCTAAGCATTAGCAACTTTGGAAGTATGAACCATAACAAAGGACTAAATCAAAAGTCTTACTAATCAATCTCTACTTAATTGTTTGCAAAGCAGTCTATAATTGACATGTTATCACTCTTTGGATTGCAATGTACTAAATCAAAATTATTTTCAGCAAAATGTTAAGTGCATTTACTACCATTAGGATCAAGGGTCTAGCATAACTACGTGAGTAGTCTCTCGGCAATATTAGGAATAAGGCTATAAGAGTTTCTTTATCATATAAGGATAGCTCCGTGTGTAGTAAAGCATGATGATACCAAAATACCTCAAGGTACTTCAATGAAATTTATTCTTTACCCCAACATAATGCAAAACGAGAAGACACGAGCGCCTTACCGGACACTGATAGACCATTAGCAGTCTACTGGAAGAAGCCATAGCTCCAGTAGTAAGAGAATGAGGGACCTTATAACATAAGGCAGCAACATTCATCACACTCCTGCATTCATAACCAAAACAGGCTAACTTCATCAACTTCCTAATGCATATAATTATATCAAAGGGTACTACTAACACACATCAATCGTTTTAAAAAATTGTTTATAATACAGCTCAATCAAAACCTAATTTGCCAGAAACCAATTAAAACAAACTATAGTATATTTATTAATATTCCATTAAATCAAGAGCTTATTATCAAATTATAATTGTATCCAACATTTTCTATCTCTCAATTTAGCAGTAAGAACGAAGAAATTCATAAAACTCCAAGGCTGTGAAAGCTGCTAATCAATGAAGAAATTCAATTATATAACAGAATTTAAAGAAAAATAAAATAAAAATCCTAGACAAGAAGTAGTTCATCCATAAACCCTAACCTTTCGAAGAAGGAGAGACGATAGTACTGTCGTGTAAATGGCGGAGTAAGCGGCTTGCGGTGAGACTGTTAAAAGCAACGCTGGTGTGGCGAGGTGGAGAAATGGCGAGTGCACAAGAAGGGTCTATGGAAGTGAACAAATAGCGACGAGAGAGAAAAGCAGAGAGCGACGGCTTTATGTAAGCAGTGACTCTGACAGTGAAGGTGGCTAATAGTGTCGCCGGAGCGCTAAGCGGGCCAGAGAGGGAACAAGAAGGGGGTGCGTGAATGGTTTTAGCGATTGGGGTCAGAAGTCAGGAGAAAATACTTGTTTCATATGGCATATTAACAGGTTTCGTTTATACGAGGGTTAAAGTGTCATTTCTACAATTTCGCCTACTCAAAAAGGGTAAAGTTGTCAAGATGCACGAAGTCCATCTAACAGAGTAGTAACAAACTACCGACGATAACAATTCTTGTGTGGAATGTCTAAGGTGTTAGTAATAAATTAGCAATCATTCGAGAGCTTTTTAGAGTTAATAAGCCTTCTGTTTTGGTTTTAGTAGAGACTCGTATAAGTGGTGTGCAGACTCAAAGTGTACGTGATACTATTGGTTTTGATGGCCAACTCCGTGTCGAAGCCCAAGGATTTGTTGGTGGTATTTGGATCCTTTGGCGAACTGATGATGTGAGTATTTCTAGTTTTGGCAATCACACTCAACACTTGACTGTCGAGATCAAAAAGAATGGGGGTGATCCTAGTCTATTCTCTGCTATATATGCTAGTCCAAATAGTACTGCTCAGAAGGAACTGTGGGAGAGGTTGGAAAAAATTAAGGATCGTTATTCGGGACCTTGGCTTCTGGCAGGGGACTTTAACGAGACTGCTAGCATGAGTGAAAGAAACGACGTTGGTGGTCCAGAGATGGTTCGAAGGTGCCGGGACTTTACTAATTGAATTGAAAATAATGGTCTCATTGATTTGAATTATTCGAGACCAAATCATACCTGGTTTAGAGGGAATTTGCCAGCTACGTTCAAGTCAGCCCGGTTAGACCGAGGATTTGTGAAAGATCAGTGGAGATTGAAATTTGATGAAGCTGCCTTGAGGAATCTCCCCAAGTCGAAGAGTGATCATTGTCCAATATTGATTAGTACGACTGGGTTTGCGCCAATTCCTTCGGCTACCAAACCTTTTAGGTTTCAAGCGGCTTGGATGAATCATATTAAGTTCGAAGAATTTTTGCGCGAGAAGTGGGATGCAAAGGCTCCTCTTATCCCTTCTTAAAATCGATGGCGGGCTTGTCGGATGAATGGAATAAGATGGTGTTCCATAATACTTTTAGGAAGAAATCTAAGCTTTTAGCAAAGATGGAGGGCATTCAGCGTCGACTGGCTCAACGAAAATATAGACACTTGTTGAAGCTCGAGAATCGGCTAAGAAGAGAGTTAGATGATGTTCTTGAACAGGAGGAATTATTGTGGTTTCAAAAATCTAGAGTGGATGCTATTAGAGATGGTGATAGAAACACAAGATACTTCTACTTGTCTACCATTATTCGTCGAAGAAGAAATCGAATTGATGCTTCAAAATGATAATGGGGAATGGGTTAGCTGTCCAAATATGGTAAAATCAATGTTGGTTGACTATTGGAAATGCCTATTTCAGGAAGAGCCTTCGATGTTTGTTGGGGAAATGATGCTAACTTACCATTTTCCTTATATTGATGATGATGCTCGAGAAATTATTTCACGAACCTTTGATGAATGTGAAATAAAAAAAAAATAGTGTCTTCGATGAAACCCTTCAAAGCTCTGGGGCCGGATGGGTTCCAACCGTTGTTCTATCATAGATATTGGGATTTAGTTGCCCCTAATTTAGTTGAATTGGTGAAAGGCGTGCTAGATGGTCAGATCTTCCCGGAGAGCTTGAATGATGCCTACTTGGTTCTTATTCCAAAGATGGAGACCCCTCAAAAACCGAACCACTTTCGCCCTATTGGTTTGTGCAATATTATTACATATAAAGTTGTGACCAATGTGATTGTGAACAGGTTGAAACCTCTCCTCCCAAAGTTGATTTCCCCTACTCAGTGTAGTTTTGTTCCGAAAAGACAAATTACAGATAATATCATAATCGTGCAGGAAATATTGCAATCAATGAGAAAGAAGCAAGGTAAAGTTGGATGGATGGCTGTGAAAATTGACTTTGAAAAGGCCTATGATCGTGTTCGATGGAGTTTTATTCGTGACTCCCTTATGGAATTACGATTACCGCAACTGATGGTGGATATTGTGATGAATTGTATAACCTCAACGAAGCTCCAGATTTTATGGAATGGAGAACCGATATAGTCTTTTTCCCCAACTAATAGGGGTATTAGACAGGGTGAACCCCTATCATCTTATATCTATGTCATCTGTATGGAGAGATTGGCTCATTTAATTGAGCATGAGGTTAAGTTTGGAGGGTGGAAACCGGTCAAAGCTAGTAGGAAAGGACCTGAAATTTCTCATCTGGCTTTTATCGACGATTTGATTTTATTTTGTGAAGCATTGGTGGAGCAATCTATGTGTATGAAACAATGCCTTGATAGATTTTGTAATGCCTCGAGGAGCAAGGTAACTTGTGCTGAGTCCAGGGTGTTCTTCTCTGTAAATACGAATTTGGATGTGTGAGACTCGATCTATCAGACTTTAAACATGGAGAGTACGAATGATCTAGGTGTCTATTTGGGAGTCCCTACAATTAATTTAAGGACTTCTAAACAGGATTACCAATATCTTATTGATAAGGTGAATTCGAAATTGGCAGGATGGAAAGCTAAGACTTTATCTCTAGCAGGAAGGATAACATTGGCTCAAGCTTGTATCTCGTCTATTCCATACTACACAATGCACTACCAAGCTTCCTAGGAGTACTTGTGATGAAATTGATAAGAAAACTAGGAAATTTTTGTGGGTAGTGATGATAGCAATCGAAGGATTCATCTTGTGGCCTGGGAAAAAGTTTCGAAATTAAAGTTGGAAGGTAGCTTGGGTATTCGTTCAATGCGTCAAGCTAATTCGGCTTTTCTTGCAAAATTGGGGTGGAGGGTGCTGGCAGAACCTCAATCTCTTTGGTCAAGGGTGCTACAAAATAAATACTGTGAAGGGCGTTGTGACTTAGATATGTTTAAAGATAGTCAAGGAGTGTCGAATGTATGGCGTGGAATTCTGAGCAATGTAAACACTGAAGAAAGGCATAAGCGTGGCAATAGGCAATGGTTGAAGTACCCTATTCTGGAAACATTTATGGGCTACTAAGACCCCGCTCTTACAGATGGCTGACCCTGCTCCTCCTGATGCAATTCATGAGGCTACAATAAGGGAATTTTGGGACTCAAATACAGGTTGGAAATTTGAGTTGTTTGCTGATTTCCTTTCAGAATCGTTGCTTGAAGAAATTGCAGCGCATGAAGTATTAGACGATGAGAATGTTGTGGACGTGTATTGGAATGGGGATCCAAGTGGAGGTTTTTCACTTCAATCTACCATCAAGATTATTCGTAATTCAAGGGAGATTAGTGCTGAGCAGAAGAGGCAGTAGAAGGATATTCGGCGCGCTCCGATTCCACAGAGGATAAGAATGTTTCTTTGGTTAGTGATGAGTCTATTTTATATATATATTTATTCCCCGTCCCACGGTCATATTTGTGCTTATTTGAGCTATATGGAGCTATTTTTATTACTAATATACGTTTTCTAGTGTTTTTGTAGAGTTGGTATTATTTTGTAAGAATTTACAGAATTATGACAATTTCCGAACTTATTGAGCCACTAAAAAGATATTGGAGTTTGATCGTATTTTATGACTGTATATTTTAAGCCCAAGGCAGAGTTAGAGAAATTTAAGAAGTGAAGAAACTTGGGATAATCAATTCTGAAAGCCCAGATCCAAGAACAAAAGGGAGCAGTGAAGCCCAATTCGCAGCCCCAACTGACCGGGCTCGATCGGGCGAGTCTTGGCCCGATCGGGATGATTATCATCAGCGCCTACTTCAGATATTTGGGCTTTGTTGATTTGGGCTCATCATTGTACACCGAATTCTTGGAAAGGCTTCTATTTAATTTGTTTCCTTGGTTTAGTAGGAAGAGGATTAGAAGTTGACTTGGTCTTCTTTTCCTTTTCCTATGTAAGGAGGTAGTACGGGGTAGGGAGTTTGGGGTAGTAGTTTAGTTTTTAGTTTTTAGTTTTGTTCTTTTCTTAATTTAATTTTTCATTAGTTTTAAATTAGTTTTAGTTTTATTTATCTTTTCTCTTTCTCTCTCTAACTCTTTTCTCTCTCCTCTTAAACTCTTAGTATTATTTTCTCTCTCTATAACTATTGGTTTAATTTCATTAATTTATTCTCTTTCTTTGATCATGTCTCCTTTAATTGTCTTGATTAGTTTAGTTTTTATTATGTATGAGTAGTTTTATTTCTAGGGTTTGTGGGGATCCATAAATAATATGAAGGGGTAATTTATTATTGTTGATTATCAATGCTAGATTAATTTCCTATTGATTGATTTAATGCTATGTGACTAGATTTGCGCAGATCTTTTATGCATGAGTTTAACAATATTGATTCGAGATTCGTCAGATGAGAATTGTTGTTTAGGTCTAGTTTCAATAGGCAGGTTAATTTATAAATGGTTGAGTCGAGATTTGAAAGATGAGATTTAATACCGGTAAATTAATTGTGTGATTGTAATACGTAGCAAAAGCCCTTTATGATCTGATTAATGTACGCATTGATGATTGATTATTATGTCTTACCCTGGGATATTATTTATCGGTGAACCTATACCCTAGGTCTTTTATTCATTGTTTATTCTCCTACTTTTACTCTTTCCCACTTTTACTCATAGTAGTTTAGTTTCCTTCAATTATTATATTTTGGTTACTTTATAATCTAGATTATATTAATTAATTAGGAATAGAAAGACTCGTTTCTCTGTGGATTCGACCCTACTTCCCTATCTACATTAGTTAGAGGATTTAGGTAATACTTTTGATTAGGGGATACGACTTTACCCTGCCAAAATTTGGCGTCGTCGCCAGGGAAACGGTTTTATTTTTATTTCTAGTTATTATTAGAGTCTAGATTTTTTTTTTAATTTTTTTTTTTATGAGTTGAAAATATCCATGCTTACGCCACTACAAGAATTATATAATTTTTATGCAGCACCTAACTACTGTAGTTGTCAACGTCTTTGTCATGAAAATCCTGAATGCCTTTATAGTGAGTTTTTTGTGTGTGCTCCGGATGATTTTAAAGTCTTTCCATATACATATAATCATATTCGGAAACGATTAGTTGCTAATGAAAGTTATTGGAAGGC